TGATTAGGGTTTCACAAAAAAAAAAAAAAAAAAACAAAAAAACAAAACAAAACAAAACAAGCTATAGCTCTGGTCTTCCTTCTTAGTAATTTCACAATAAAAAAGAAATATAGCTATATTCTTCCTTAGAAATTAAAGAATCAAAGATTGTGTTAGGATTTTAAAATTGAAGTCCCAACTAGATCGTTGTAAAAATTGGAAACAAGTGACGAGTTCTATAGACAAAATCCCTCAACTCGATTTGGTGGGTTCTGAGCAGCTGCAAAGGCTTCTTGCTTTCTTCTTCACAACAACCAACTTTTGTTTTCCTTTTTTTTTTTTTTTTTTCCGCATCATAATATTTAATTAGTGGAATCCTCTTATGTGTAACATCAGCACATAACAGAATTTTTGACATAATTGTGACGGAATGACCACATTAATTTGAGACGTCCATTTTCATGAACTACTTTGATTGGTTTTTGAATTTCAGGACCATCTTGATGAGATGATTTAATTTCAGGAACTATTTGTGATAAAACCCATAAACATATATCATTGATTAGATTCAAAACAAAAATATGTCATTGATATATGGCTTAATAATAAAGTTTTTATCAATTTTTGGCTAAATTACCTTATATTTTTGGACAAGGATTGTCTGCCCTCCCACTTCTGGTGCCTTCCCGTACCCTATTGTATGTGTGGTCATGGTTAAATTACGTCAATATTTTATATTACTATTCATTTTTGTTTTATTATCTTTATTAAAAACAATATAAAATATTGACGTGACTTAATCATGACCATATAAAACAAGAGGACATAAGAAAACATCGGAAGTTAGAGGGCAGACAATCCTTGTCTTATATTTTTAGCCAGAAATTTGAAAAGTTCGGAATTCAGTACAATTGGCAGAGATGGTGCCACGGCTTTTGCCACGTTTTGAGCATGCAAAGCAGCATGCAACCAGCACGCAAGCACACGTATCCTGTCTAGCTACGTACCCACACCATCAGCCTCCGCTTATCTTGTCAAATTATTATTTTTCAATTCAATAATATTAATTAGGCTAATTAATTTATCAATTATGTTTTAGTGTATATCAATATTTGTAACCGTTAAATTATTCGTCCAATGCTCAATGACTAGATTTACAATCACATAATATAGTAGCTAGCAAGAATTTTGAATTCAAATGTGTCACATAAGAATTAATACTTCAACTTATTCTTTTATTTTCTTTGACATAAGAGATTTATTCAGAATCTGTGTATTCTATCACACTTACAATCGATTTCTTGGAGAATGGGATGAAAAAATGTTAACAAAGGAAATTAGACTAATATCTTATAGTTATAACCACTATCAAAAAAAAAAAACAAAAAAGGTAACATCGTATTACAAATTAATAATTAAGATATTTATCACCTAAACAGTGACAGAATCAGGATTTGAACCTTGAAGAGTCTCAATATTAAAGCCTTAAGTTTTCTACATACTCCCATAGCAAACATGAAGGAGCAAATTGATTGAATTAAAACATAAAAGACCAAAATTATTGATCTCCAACATATTGTCAATTGGATTTATTAGGGAACATCAACTTCTTCATGGTATCAAAACAATTGTCCCACGTGTGAAGCCCAACGACAACATATGTTTCATGTCATCCGATTTGCGTTGTCCGCGTATTTGGCTTAAAAACTCGCCGCATGTGAGGGGACTTGTTAAGATTGAATATCACATTGATGGGAGAAGTGACCTTGCTACCACTTGCACAATAACCTAGTTGAAAGACAATATATACACTTCCTCCCCCAAACTCCCATGAAGGAATGCATTCTTCACATCAATTATCTAAGAGGCCAATCCATATTTGTAGCTAAGGAAATAAAAACACGTACAGTAATCATCTTTGGTACCAGAGAAAGGTTTTTTTTTTGCTAACTTTGAGTGTACCCCTTAGTCACTAACCTTACTTTGTACTTGTCCACTAATCCATGATACACAATTAGCAATCAGATACTTGACCTTCCATTCCAGAGAAAACCTGTCAGGTGGCACACCACGATTCTGTCTTGCTAGCAATTTATAAGCACTCACACCAATATCATGATTAGTTGTATTATCATTTAAAATACTTACCTCTATGAATATATAGAGAAGATGGAACAGACACTAAAGGATTAGAGAAAGGGGGTACTACAAAAAGACTGGGCAATCTGGCACATTCCTGTTGAACTGGATTGTTCTATTCAGTTGGAAGCTATCGAACTGAGTTATATTGTTCGATGAACTCCTGCTGAACTGGGTTGTTCTGTTTAGTTGGAAGTTGTCGAACTGTGCAGGTGGTAATTAACAAGTTAGGGGCAATATCCATGTTGTTGGAAGTGGGCTTTGACCCATCTTTCTGATAATTTAACATGGTATCAGAGCCAGGGAGCAGGTCCATACTACCATGAGAAGGGTCTGTCCCCTTGACCCCACACAATGATGTTAGGTCCCTTGGCCCCACATGTTGGGTGAGTTCCATTGACCCTGCATACTGGGTGAGTCTCTTTGGCTCCACGTGATTGTCGATTTGTGGATCTCCCACGTATGACCCACTAATTAGGTCTTACGTGAGCGGGGTTTTGAAATATCAACATCGGTTGTCTCTTGGAGAACAAAAGAGTTTAAATGTCCTAACACCACTCCAACCAACACTGAAGCCGTTTGTGATAAAACCCCACACATGTCAAACTGTGCAAGTGATAACTAACAAGTTAAGGACAATATTGATGTTGTTGGAAGTGAACCTTTGGCCCTTTGGCCCTTTTCTTTGGTAGTTTGACAAAAAAAAAAAAATAATATGTTGTTAGATTAAACCAAGAAAAGAGGTCAATTTCTTTCAAGTGGACTAATTTTATCATCGTGTAGGAAAAATCCCAACAAGAAGCGCCCATGGCCTAATGGATAAGGCGTCTGACTTCTAATCAGGCGATTGTGGGTTCGAGTCCCACTGGGCGTGCGTGCATCCTCCACTGTTCTTTATTTTTTCTAATTTTTTTTTTTATTATTATTTTAAATCCCACAAAACAGAACACAAGAATGTGCGATGGTTTTCTTTGAGGGAACACAAGAGAGGACACGACAACATCAGCATCATACAAGATTTCCAAACCATAAAATCATTCCATTCATCAGCTTAACCTAGTTTACAAAATCCACCAGATCTTAACAATTTCACCCGGCCCCATGAAAAGAAAACAAAAAAAGGGAGTTTTAACGAAAAGTCCACGGTACTGTTCACTTTAATGAAAAATCACATTTTTTACACTAAAAAGTCAATCCTGGTACTATTCACTTTACCCTTTATTTTGTCTTTATCATTAAAACTCAAAATTTTCAAGTCATTTTCATTAATATTCCTAAAAAACAATATCATCTAAACAGGACACACCACTGTTACTCTTACAATGCCTTTACGCCAAAAACTCGGGTTCCTGTATGTTAATAATCAGTCCTTCCATGCACGTTTGTCTTGCATCCCTCAATCACCAGGTCAAAGTGCCTTGGGAAAACGCAACTCAGTAGGGCCTGGACCCAAAATTCCTTTTTGTTCACTAATCTTTCCCAGGCCAGGAGGCGGCTCTACTGATACGGTCTTTTCGTCAATCCTGGTACTATTCACTTTACTCTTTATTTTGTCTTTATCATTAAAACTCAAAGTTTTCAAGTCCTTTTCATTATTTTTTCTAAAAAACAATATCATCTAAACATGACACACCACTGTTACTCTTACAATGTCTTTACGCCAAAAACATGGGTTCCTACATGTTAATAATCAGTCCTTCCATGCACGTTCGTCTTGCATCCCTCAATCACTAGGTCAAAGTGTCTCAGAAAAACGCAACTCAGCAGGGCCTGGACCCAAAATCCCTTTTTGTTCACTAATCTTTCCCAGGCCAGAAGGTGGCTCTACTGGTACGGTCATTTCGTCAATCCTGATACTATTCACTTTACCCTTTATTTTGTCTTTATCATTAAAACTCAAAGTTTTCAAGTCATTTTCATTAGTTTTCCTAAAAAACAATATCATCTAAACAAGACACACCACTGTTACTCTTACAATGTCTTTATGCCAAAAACGCAGGTTCCTGTATGTTAATAATCAGTCCTTCCATGCACATTCGTCTTGCATCCCTCAATCACCAAGTCAAAGTGCCTTGGGAAAATGCAACTCAGCAGGGCCTGGACCCAAAATCCCTTTTTGTTCATTAATCTTTCCCAGGCCGAGAAGGGGGCTTTACTGGTTCGGTTTTTTCGTCAATCCTGATACTATTCACTTTACCCTTTATTTTGTCTTTATCATTAAAACTCAAAGTTTTCAAGTTCTTTTCATTAGTTTTCCTAAAAAACAATATCATCTAAAAGGACACACCACTGTTACTCTTACAATGTCTTTATGCCAAAAACGCAGGATCATGTATGTTAATAATCAGTCCTTCCATGCACGTTTGTTTTGCATCCCTCAATCACCAGGTCAAAGTGCCTCGGAAAACGCAACTCAGCAGGGCCTGAACCCAAAATCCCTTTTTGTTCACTAATCTTTCCCAGGCTAGGAGGCGGCTCTACTGGTATGGTCTTTTCGTCAATCCTGGTACTATTCACTTTACTTTTTATTTTATATTTATCATTAAATCTAAAAGTTTTCAAATCCTTTTCATTAATTTTTCTAAAAAACAATATCATCTAAACATGACACACCACTGTTACTCTTACAATGTCTTTATGCCAAAAATGCGGGTTCCTGTATGTTAATAATCAGTCCTTCCATGCACATTCGTCCTGCATCCTTCAATCACCAAGTCAAAGTGCCTTGGAAAAACGCAACTCAGCAAGGCCTGGACCCAAAATCCCTTTTTGTTCACTAATCTTTCCTAGGCCAGGAGGCGGCTCTATTGGTACGGTCTTTTAATCAATCCTGGTACTATTTACTTTACTCTTTATTTTGTCTTTATCATTAAAACTCAAAGTTTTCAAGTCATTTTCATTAGTTTTCCTAAAAAACAATATCATCTAAACAGGACACACCACTGTTACTCTTACAATGTCTTTACACCAAAAATGTGGGTTCCTGTATGTTAATAATCAGTCCTTCCATGCACGTTCGTCTTGCATACGTCAATCATCAGGTTAAAGTGCCTCGGAAAAACGTAACTCAGCAGGGCCTGGACCCAAAATCCCTTTTTGTTCACTAATCTTTCCCAGGCCATGAGGCAGCTCTACTGGTACGGTCTTTTCGTCATCTCTCCAGATAGTCGTCACTGGTACTTGCCACTCGCTCTGCAATATCAAAAGGCTTCCATCATAACTATCAATCTTATATCATCTACCTTAAACAAATTGGCTGTTAAGACTAAAAAAAGTTGAGTATTCGGTGACTAGTAGAATAGTCATGACTCATAGGTCCAATTTCCATGTAATCTTTGCAAACTTTAAAAAACTTACCTCGTCTTGAATGTAAGTTACATCGTGCAGCTCTGGTGTCATGAGCGGGGGAGAAATATCAGGGTCCGGCTTTTGGAATATAAACGTAGTATATAAACCTGAAAAAGAAAATTTTGTTTGAAGGTTTGAACACAAATTCATTATCATGATGGAAAGAAAATAAGGAGCAACTTAGCAAGTTGTATTAGACAACATGGTAGAAACAAAATCATTACCTAATACATCATATGATCGAGGAAGAAGTCTTCCTCGAGGATCCACAAGGTTTGAACAGGAATTCATTATCATGCCTGCAAATTGTGTTCTTACAGCAGAAATATATAGGGGAAAAAAAAAATTCAGCCATGATAAGTTAAAGAAAAAGTTATGTGAAATGATTAGGGTAATAACTATGGTTTAAGATTTTTATTAGCAAGTTTCGTTAGAAAAATATACTGGAATGCTTGTGGAAAATTCAAGAGAAAAAGAATTCAAACCTGTTGTCATCGTAAAATTCAGTTAAGTTTTGAATCTCCACATACTCAAGACCAGCTTCTCTGGCTAACCTGTTAACATACAATAAGGGGTCATTATCAAGATCAATTGAAAATCAACATCTAAGGAAACAGACAAAAAATGCAACTGCCTGCATTCTGACCAAACATTGGAAGCAACGCTAAACCTGATAAAGCTTGGGAAATGAACCAAGTGATGACTTTCAGGAGAGATATCATTAGCAAATTTCAGTTGGTATTTCTTTCCAAATATAGGAAACCTGAAAGTGGAAGTACATTCACTTAGGAAAAAGGATTGAGCGCTAATTACCAAAATCATCCAAGAAAACAAAACCTCAGAGCGACATGCTTAACATCTCAAGCTTATACGCACTTCTCTTCCTCAACTTCAAACGTAATCGTGTAGTTCTCTGATCTAATGCAATTGGGGACAATGTTTGGTTTCATGCCACCACTTCTATTGTGGTATGCTTCAACATTCTTCTGGTACTTTGCCCTGTATGACCATAATGTCAAATTAGCAATCACTATTTCCCTGCTCAAAGGCAAAGATGTGCCATGTAAAGAAAGTTCACTAAATGTACCAATTTTACCAAATCAATGCTACATATAGAAAATATATAATTAAACAACAGATCTTTGTCAAGCATCTTCCATACCATATTGTAGATGAGTCAGGAGTAATACCGAAAAAATAACCCCCTGGTTTCAATAAGGATGACACATTAAGCAATAGTTTCCTTGCTCTCTCCTCAGTTTGGAAACACATCTGTAGTAAAAATTCTTTTAATTTGGAATATGCAATTCTTAAATTAAAAACAAAAAGGAAGACATACGAGACTGTTAAAATGGAAAGAAAATACCAATCTTTAAAATAAATTAAAAACCTGCAAATTCTGCAAGCAGCAAACTAAATCAGCCGTGTTTGCCTTATCTTTCAAATGCATCTCTACATCTTCCTGTCAAAGTAATCCACTGTCAAAGAATGCAGGATTGAAGAGACCAAAAATTATCCAAAGCAAGCAACTAAAAGCAGCTAAAAATTTCATATTAGATGAATCCTAGATAAACGTCACTCAGCAACCGTTATTAGATACAGCTGAAGCCTGAAACTTATGACTAAATTGCACGCTAACAACTAAGACAATTGTTAGTTCATGGAAATACAGTCCATCTCTGAAATCTAAAGTACAGAAGCAGAGGAGAGAAATCACTATTTTCAATCTGCTGAAATCTAAAGCTCAGCAGAATTTTGCACACTGAAAGTACTGCACCATCAAACAAGAACAGAGATTAAATAGCTTGGACATGCAATCTGCTGTAAAGGTATTATATTCACCATGCATCATAAGCTACAACAAAATCCAGTGCCCAGAAGAGTAAGGGAATCAGCATCCAAACTTACTTATTGGCCAAAAATACGATAGCACCATCTACTAGTCAAGAATATAAAATTCTAAACGAAGCTTTAAACTATTTTCTACTCGTTTTCTTAAGTTTCATATGTTTTAGGAATCATAAGCATCTCTAGATTGATACATATTCTACATATGTGTCTAAGTACTAGGGGTGTAAAGGTTTATTTCTAGTTTATTTGGTTGGTTCATCTTCCTAAGTCTACAAAGCTTAGGTATTCTAGGTCTTGTTCGAAAAAAGTAGCGCTATCATACAATTTAGGCATGAAGCTAGAGAGTACGAGTGATCAGTTCAGCTCAGAATGCTGAAGTTGAGGACCTATATTCTAGATCAAATTCAATCGGCAACTTTGTCAGCCAGTCGGGTTCAACAATTAACACACTCTACAATTATCAAAATCACAAAAACCCAATGTTATTTCATAAACAGAGAACACACATTTTCATCAATCAGTTAAAAACAAATATTCCTACATTAAAATTTCCAAATTTTCAATCTGAAAAGTAGTTCCTCTAGCTTAAAATGATAAGTATGCCAGTACTGAAGCCACCCCAACACTTACCCACCGATCCCCAACACCCCAAATCTCAAACTTCTCACAATTTCAATTCCAATTCAATCAAATACCAAATCTTTCAACAATTTCCCACCAACCCATTTCGCAAAAATCAATACTTTACACTAAAACCATCCCATACAATTCATTAGATGACCAAATGTATCGTAAGTGATTGGAAAAAAAAAAAAAAAAAAAAAAAAGGAAGAGATAGAGAGAGAGAGGGTACCGAGTGAGTGATCTGGTGGAGGAGGAGAGAAGTCGAGCTTTCAGGAGAGACGGCGCGCGGGAGATCACTGGGTGGCGAAGCCGTGATAGCGCCATTTTTGTGTGCAGAGATTGAGATTTCTAGGGCGGAGACGGACCGTGGCGTAAGGGTGGACGAAGATTCTGGTGAGTGCAGCTTTGGCGAACTCGTAGAGTCGGTGGTGAGTCGACTCGGCCTTCGTCCCCGCGTGCAGACTCATCGTCCCTGCGAAGCTCGAGTCGCCGAAGCAGCAGGCGCACACAGACGATTGTGAAAGAAATGAAATTACCTCCAAAAGCAGGCCCTGATTGGCAAATTATTTGGTTCGGACTTCGTTCAAATTCAACAAATTCGGTTTAGGCTAAGCCTATAAGGTCCTGTTTGGCAAATAAGAAAATAAGGCGAAAACGAGAGCTTAGTGGAAGCGGCGATACGGGGTTTTGAACACGGCGGACCCGTTCGAGAAGGCCCGAGTCGGCGACTCAATGGCGGCTCAGTGGCTCAGAGGGACTACTACTCGCGCCTACGATCCGTCCGTGAACGTCTCCTTGCGATCGCCCCACCATGCTCAGCAATGTTACGTATACTTTTCAATTGTAGTGGTTTTTTTTGCGCGCCAAACGTTTGATGAAATGTCTGTGTGTTTTGTGCGCGTGTGTGCAGGCTAAGTTGGTGGCGCCGGGTTCGATGCCGAAGCTTGGGAAGGGCGGGAGCTTGGGCTATTGACTTGTCTTGGGTAACTCACTCACTGCTACTCGTTTGTTTAATGCAATTTAGTCTTGTAGGAATCCATTGAATGATGGGTTTTAAGGATTTTGATAAGTAAATGGCAGATTCTGATACCGTCACAATAACATTTTCATGTGCAGGAAATTGATTCTCCCCCAATGCAGAACGAACGCAACAAAATAGTATGCGAACAATCTTGCATCGTTGATCCCGCATTGGAGAACAAATGCTGAAAGCAGGCACTCTCTTTTTTGATTTGGTGTTTCAGTTACGTTAGTTAGACTATGTTCTTTTGTTCAATTTTTGTAGTTGAGTGAGTTTGAATGTATACTATAATTTTGAGTCTGTTTGTGTTAAATGTTGAATGTTGTAGGACATAATTGCTATGTTCGGGAAGCAATAGGCAATGCCAAGAGAGTTCTTCATGGATTTGGTGAAGGTGGGCACAAGATGAAGGCCCTCACTTCACTCTCCTGGCATCTCGCCTCGAGGAGATGAGTGTGTTTTATGGAGCTTTGGCGGCCCACGACGGCCTCTGGGACTCGGCAACTATCACTTCAAGACCTAATGGCGCGCCTTGCCATCGAGCATTGCATGCACGAGGCGAGAGGACTCGACGTGGTCCCAACAACCATATCTCAATTCCGCAACAAGGGCGATGACAAAATGGCTGAATTGCTGGAAAGCGTGGTGTGCCGGGAAGAAATAACTCATTGTGCTGCGGGAATGATGTGGTTCAAGTATCCAATTAAGTACTAAACACAACGGACAGTTCAACAAAAATGTAAATTTGGGTACAACTGAATGCCACAGAAACAAAAAACAAAATCTGCACATTAAAAAGGGAATTTATTGCTGAAAAATGGCGGATGCTTTCTGTGGCCATGTTTGTACATTATTCCCTTTTATTCAGGGGATGGTAACACTTGGAATTAGATGGGAAGTCATGCAAAAATTTTGCACCCACTGGTACCTCAATGATTTTTCTGCGTCGATGGACAAGGGAAGTTGGAAATTCTAGAAAACAAGATGGCACAACAAATGCAAATGGACAGGCAAATCATGGGGAAAAAATTGCTGTGATCCTCTCGAACGATTTGAAAGAAACCTGCCACCATGGTTATTTCTGGCAAATCTCCTAGCTAATGATGAGGCCGAGGCTTCTTTCCTGTCATTACAAAAGAAGCCTTCGGATATCACTGAAGTTTGAACGTAAAGCTGAGAGGAACGAACCTGCAGGATAGTTGGGATTGTCTCATAAGCAAATGTGAAGAAATCAAATGTATCAGCACAAATTATATTTCGTATCCATTTTTGTTTTTGAAGTTTCAATTTGGAAGAAGATTGTAGCATTACGCACCTCCAACTTTTCCGTCAAATACTCGATGATCAGCCGATAATGTCAAGTTCATTTTGGTGACAACTGCCGGCCTCTCAATTCCTGTGGTGGGGGAAGGGAAATTCACTTCATTTTCCCATTCCATAATGCATCAAATTTAGACTGCTGAGTAGAATGAGCAACAAGATATCTTACCGTCGCTTCCAATCACTGGTTCAACTACTTTGTTGCCTCTGCCAACAGCAAGGATACTGGCCTGAGGTGGGTTTATAATTGCACAGAAATGATCCACAGGAAACATCCCCAAGTTTGAAATGCTGCAGAACGAACGAGAAGTATTTCATAACTACTGTATTTGACGAAAGAATGGGTAAAAGCAACTAAGAATGCTATAAATTTCACCTGAAAGTTCCTCCTTGGAATTCATTTGGCTTAAGCTTTCCCGCTCGTGCCTTCTCAGCTAGTTCCTTGACCTGACAAGAAAATATCAACCAAATTGATATTTGAAGAAATGTTAATATGGCTTCACTTCCAAAGGTAAAATTCTAAATGAAAAACATAAAAAATATCATAAACCAGGTTAGATTTTCAACTCATAATTCTACATAGGGATGACTATCGTATGACTTCGCCGCAAATTTCTCAATATTCCAATTTACCATGAGCATAGCAAGCCAGAGGGGATCACAAGAAACACGTTTCTTAAGTGTTAGCACTTTGGAAAGATAAAAGGAAACAGAAAAGGTGGAATCAAGAATGGAAAAATGAACTAAAAAAATGCTTCGATTATTGCAAGTACCTCTGCAGAGATTGCTGATATTGATTTCTGATCTGCATTCTTCACAATTGGAGTCATCAGGCCCTGTAACAGTACCCAATCATAAGAATGGACACCGCATAATAATATTTTCTGTTCATATGAGGTGCTGTATAACAAGTTTAAATACAAAAAAATGGGCAAATTACCTTCTCAGTGGCCACAGCAATTGATATATCAACGGAATCACAAAGAAAGACTTCTCCTTTTTCAGCATCCCAGTAAGCTGGTGGGAATTAGAATAACAAACGTGTTAGCGACGTCTAATATTGATTACAAATCAGTTCCAGAATATGGAAGTCAAACAGAAATAAAAACTCAATTACTTTGGCAAATTCCAATAACCAATATATAGAAGTAAAAAAACACACAAAAAAATGAAAATTACGGCTTCAACTGTGGATGGAGGAATCTCTAAAAGAAAATATACTCCATAAAAGTGAAAATGTCGTGCACCAATATCAAGAATAACTATCAAAGTGAAAGTTCTATTACCATTTGCTTCCGGTACATTTTTCAGTGCAACAGCTACAGCTTTGATAACAATGTCATTAACTGAAACTTTAACATTATGCTGTTCTGCAATTAAGGAAACACATAAAAAGAAATGATTTGCTAGATTCAAGAATTCTCAAGGTCAAGAATAAAAACAATTTGAAGTTCATAATCCATACCTATAAGATCCCTTCTAAGAGAAAGAAGAGGGTCCAGTATAACATCTGAATGGAATAAATCGACAAATTTTAGAAAAGAGAAATTTTAATTTGTATTAACAAATGACTTCACCAAATAGTTACATGACCTGATGATAAATATAAATGCGGTATGTTTTGTTTTGATTCTAGCAATCTAGTAGCTATCACCTGCCAAAAAACAAAAAAAAAAAAAACCATGAATCTTACAGTATCACCATATATTCAATTTCAACCACAACTTGAACAAAGCAGACACTATATTAGCAAATAATAAATGAGACCACGCTTACAGCATAAAACCATCAAAACCAGTAGGGTGTAATCAGAATAGATATTTTCACTTGACATGTTAAGTACTGAGAAATATTACTGACAAAATTTTTGAAGAATAAGACGGTACATGTGCCACTTGCAAATATCGAATCAGGTAGTCTATTATAACTATCATTTTCTTTTTTGTCATAATGGATTCTTACTTGGAGAGCCTTTGTAATCATGTTGATTCAAAATGCTGCACCTTGTACCACAAGCATGGCTGGCTTTAAAGCCATGCACATAATGTTGTTGTAATTTGATAGGTACGCGTCCATATAATGAACATTTGAAGAATCGGTTCAAAACTGAGAAAATAAATTTTTTTTTTTTGTCCAAATCTGAATATCAAGTCAATGAAACCTACCTTGCGGATTTGACTATTGGGAAAATCTTCAAAAGAATCTGTCTGTTTTGATGGCTTTGACTTTTGTGGTTTTGGGACATGAGCACCTGATGCCTTTGACGGTGATGGAGTAGTCTTTTCTTTGGATGAAACTTTTGAAGACCCTATTCCTGACTTGATTGCAGCTAAAACATCCCCTTTCAGCAATGTACCATGAGGACCTGATGCCTTCAGCAATGATGTATCCAATCCATGTTCTGTAATAAGCAACTTTGCTGCTGGACTGATCCTTGAAATACTGGTTTTTTCCGATCTAGTTACATCTCCGGTATCCTGACGGACTGGTGTTTCTTCTTTGACAGGTGAACCACTGCTAACAGCATTCTTTACAGTTTCCAGATCAGATGCATCCTCAACCTTGCCAGACAGACAGCATCAGCATTGTCATATATCTAAGACACTGGAATAATTGGACTGTATAAAATGGGAAAGCATTTCATAAATTAACCAATTGACAGACAGAAATAACAGCCATGTTACCATGGCTTTAGATGTAAATTATCCTCAAGGACGAGTGAGAGACAGGTCAGAGTCCTACAAGTATCTTTGTACTTACTGTTACTGCAATTGGTTGGCCAACAGCTATATCCTTTGTACCGTCTGGCGCTAGTATCTTAGCCAAGTATCTACAACCAACATTTCATTAATAAGAAATTTTCAAGATTACCCACAAAAACAGCTGCTTCATAAACAATACTAAAATGAATTTTTCCAAGAGATTCACCAAAGCAGAAGCAGAATGATCACGAGAAATTGTTGATACTACTTATTAGGTTAGAACCAAGATTTCTGCAGTTGCACGTGAGCATAAAGTTCAATACTACCAAGGAGATAACGCTTAAAAATGAAAATGAAAATCCCCATTCCTCACATTTTTGCCATCAGTTATTACTCGGACATTCAAATACTAGTTATCAAAAGAGATGGTTCCTAACCTATTTACAATGTTGAACACATATCGGCATATGTGAATAAGACACTTCATCAAATAGCCGCTAGAAGGCATTTCAACTGATAAAGTATGCCTTGACAATTTTTGATCAATTGAAATGTAGACTACAACCAAATAAATAATAGAATTGAGACCAAGTGACAATTAGCATAAGCCAAACCAATGGAAAAAGTCAGCATGAGAGAGGAAACAAAAAAACAATTACCCCTCTTCAAGACATTCAAATTCAATGGTTGCTTTGTCTGTCTCTATCTCACATATTATATCACCCACTTCTATCTGTTAGACAAGTAATCAAGAAAACAATTCATGTTAATACCGTCAAATTTTTAACGAATTCAGATGAAAATTTCCAAAGAAAATTCAAAACCTTAAATTCATATAACTAACCTTATCTCCTTCTTTCTTTGTCCACTTAAAAATGTTTCCCTGGCTCTGAACAGACACACAGGAATAGCAGCATTAAGTTCCTCTGGAGGTAATTTAACAATAATCAGCGCATAAAAACTAATCGAAACTTTCTTACCATTGTTGGTGATAAAGCTGGCATTTCAATGACAATGTGAGGAGGAAGTTCTGATGTGTTTATGCCCACAGAACTTGTATCTTGTACCCCCTCTTCCTTTCTGACATTCTGATGTGCTGGTATATCCTCTTTGACCTCAGATCCACCGACCACATTAGCAGGGAGGTTTTGGATATCATCTGCATCCTCAACCTTGTGAATGCACAACAATCAGTCTCTTTACAACTAAGAGCTTGAGTCGTAATCAAAGTAAACGCTTAACATTAAAACAAAAATTAAAGTCTGAAAGATATAGGCGGTAATTAGTATAAAAAAGATGTGAGAAACCATGACAGTTTAACAATTATTAAGCAGAAAGTATATGTGTAGCCAAAGTTTCAGAGAGCGGAGCAAGTCAACTTAGCATTATATTGGCTCTTACATTGTCCTGTAGAATGTGATTATGGGCTTTAAATTTTCACTTTACAAGATTAACTGGATAGGATAGTGCTATTCACAAACCCATTTTTACCTCTCACACACCCTTGTTAATTTTTTGCCATTGATCTTCTTCAGTTCATTTGACCTGATGGCCAAAAATTGAGAGGGGTATGTGAGAAATAAAAATGGATGGGTGGGTAGCACTACCCAATTGGATAATGCTTGGCTCTCATTCCAATTTGCTCATAAGGAAATATGGAAATTGGACCCATCATGTGTTATGGACCTTGTGGCTTGAAAGGAATGATTTTTCAAAAGTAGGAATCTCAACAATGGACTTAAGGGGTCCGTAGCCTGACAACTCCTTGAATGGCTACATATGAAACCAGCACGTTCATTGTATTCTTTATTTGAGTTTCTTCCTTTTGTTTCTTTTGTAGAACTATGTATACAGATTGTATAATTAGCGCAGCCCGTTTGACACTTTTCAATTAAATACTTAAGAATAAAAATAGGGAATTGTTATTGGCACTCCAAAAATCCAATTGTGCACCCCAAACATTCTGTAATTAGAAAAGAAAAATACTCTTATGGAGGAGTGCACAATTAAATTTTTGGAGTGCCAATAATAGTTCCCTAAACATAATTAAATAAATAGACTTATCATTAGATTGACTTGGATGACTGTAATTTTTTTTCACAACTGAATTAAACTCCATCTCATATGTAGGGGCAGGTGCAAGTAACTGGACATGGGTCTCCACAAAAAAAATAATAATAAAAAAAAAAAGTTCAAGGCAATCATGGTTATAGAATAATCCACAGTACCGTTATTGCAATAGGCTGTCCCACAGGCACATCTTTTGAACCTTCAGGTGCCAATATCTTGGCTAGAAACCTTCAAAACAAAAGAGTAGAATAAAGAAACGTCCATACTAGTTCAAAACATTTTAGATTGTGCCAGAATTGCAGGACTCGAATAGTTCTTATGCCATGCTGTATAAGTTATAAAAAAGAACATCATAGAACATAACTACGAATTGAAAAAAGAAATGAAGTCTTTGCAGTTTAACATCAAAGATGATGAAAAATAATGACAAAAAAGACAAAAAGGCGAAGAAAAAATATTCTAGTAAAATAACAATTTCATTGTCTATGCCAACACATAGGGAGTGAACTATGGAACCATCTAATATATTACACCAAAGCTAAAGTAGATCATGCATCATTTACTCCACAAATTCAAAGAGATTATAAAAAATACCCTTCTTCAAGACTTTCAAATTCAATAGTAGCTTTGTCAGTTTCAATTTCACATAGTATGTCGCCCGGTTCAATCTGTTAGATTAAACAATAGTCAGGATCAGAACTGCGGAAGAAACCAGCATATCGTTATCTGCTCTACCCTAAGAAAGGATATTTCCTTCTGCACTCACTAAACCAGATCACATGAAACATAACCTAGAACCTCATTTTATAAACCCTTTGGTAGAACTTACCTTGTCTCCTTCTTTCTTCCACCACTTTGCAATGTTACCTTGAGTCTACAAGTTAAAATGGTAAGTTAGTAATTATAAAAGAGACAAATAACCTACAACTACTAATAAAATTACGGAGGGAACTTGGCAGATGTTTATGAGTGAATATAGTTTCCCACAACATTACCATTGTAGGAGACAACGCCGGCATCCCAATGACAGTATGCAAAGGATCTGTGATATCAATCAACTTCAGGTTAAAAGAAATCATTCACAGACAACCATACACATGCATAATTAAATAAACATCATACAAAGAATAAGAATTGGAAAGTCCTCTCTGTCGATAATAAAAGGAAGAATGGGAAATAGGTTGGTAACATTAGTTTTTTTAATTTTAATCACCGACATCTTTTCAGTTTGGACTGGACTGGTAAATTAATCAGTCTAAGTGGAAATTTCGTACCTTGAGTTGAATAATACTTGACACCCGTCAAAGGCTGAAAATGAATAAAGCGTCAGTAAATACTTTACCTAAGGGTAGCTGTGTGCCAAATATACATTTCAGACACTAACCTTCAGCTTTGATGGTTTATCATGAACTCCAGTGAGCATGGACAAAGTTGCTGGCCTGATCAATTTAATTATCAGTGAAAGCCAGCAGAGAGAGAAGATGAAAATAATCAGGGAAGCAAAGTATAGCCTAAACTGACAAGACCTTACTTGAATAAGCATGTACATGTAAACTGTACTTGATAGTAAATACTTACAAACTAACATACATGTTTAGATGAAAATCTAAACCCGGGTTTTAGTTTCAATTGTAGATCCTAACATGCTGAATTCAAACCAAATTCCCCTCTTAGGGTAACGAAAACAAGTGGTTGTCAAAACAAGCCTCATGTCATTGAAAAAGGCAGGCCACTAGTCCTCAATTTAAACATCAACAACTTAAGGCAGTATAAATAACCGTCCTCCCATGCTGGTGGATATAAGGGTGCCAAAAGTATGCATCCATAGCTCAACTTTGCAAAAACAGTGATGTAAAAAACCAAGGACTACAGACCTTAACAGCATATCATCACCAAGCTCAGCAGAATTTTGCACACTGAAAGTACTGCACCATCAAACAAGAACAGAGATTAAATAGCTTGGACATGCAATCTGCTGTAAAGGTATTATATTCACCATGCATCATAAGCTACAACAAAATCCAGTGCCCAGAAGAGTAAGGGAATCAGCATCCAAACTTACTTTAACATCATTGGCCAAAAATACGATAGCACCATCTACTAGTCAAGAATATAAAATTCTAAATGAAGCTTTAAACTATTTTCTACTCGTTTTCTTAAGTTTCATATGTTTTAGGAATCATGAGCATCTTTAGATTGATACATATTCTACATATGTGTCTAAGTACTAGGGGTGTAAAGGTTTATTTCTAGTTTATTTGGTTGGTTCATCTTCCTAAAGTCTACAAAGCTTAGGTATTCTAGGTCTTGTTCGAAAAAAGTAGCGCTAGCGTACAATTTAGGTATGAAGCTAGAGAGTACGAGTGATCAGTTCAGCTCAGAATGCTGAAGTTGAGGACCTATATTCTAGATCAAATTAAATCGGCAACTTTGTCAGCCAGTCGGGTTCAACAATTAACACACTCTACAATTATCAAAATCACAAAAACCCAATGTTATTTCATAAACAGAGAACACACATTTTCATCAATCAGTTAAAAAAAAATATTCCTACATTAAAATTTCCAAATTTTCAATCTGAAAAGTAGTTCCTCTAGCTTAAAATGATAAGTATGCCAGTACTGAAGCCACCCCAACACTTACCCGCCGATCCCCAACACCCCACATCTCAAAATTCTCACAATTTCAATTCCAATTCAATCAAATACCAAATCTTTCAACAATTTCCCACCAACCCATTTCACAAAAATCAATACTTTACAATAAAACCATCCCATACAATTCATTAGATGACCAAATGTATCGTAAGTGATTGGAAAAAAAAAAAAAAAAAAAAAAAAAAAAAAGAAGAGAGAGAGAGAGAGAGGGTACCGAGTGAGTGATCTGGTGGACGAGGAGAGAAGTCGAGCTCTCAGGAGAGACGGCGCGCGGGAGATCACTGGGTGGCGAAGCCGTGAGAGCGCCATTTTTGTTTTCTTTTTCACAGAGAAAAAGAAAGAAACTTTTTTCTTCCTTTTTTACTCTGAATGTTTTTGCTCAAAAGCATATGTTAGGTTGTGACAGATGACAATGAGTGTGATCTGTGTACTTTGGTAGGCTGCAAATTTTGAGTATTGAGTCTTTTGACCTCCAAAAATATAAGTTAATAATTAAAGAAAATGTGCGCTCTCTTTTAACGACTTTTCCGAACCCACCTAACGTCCCCAAGTTCTAACCCATGTTGTGCACAATTTTTTTATTTTTACGAAGATTTCAATCCGAACAAAGGAAAAAATTATGCTGGAGATTTCAACCCCAACGAAGAAAAAAAGAATGCCATGCACAATTAACAATATAATCATTCTCCAAACGAACAATTAACACAAAAATTAATTAAAAAACATCCTCAAATAGAACATCTTGAACTAAAATCGGTAGGTGTTCACACCAAACCATCTCAGCCACACATCCAAGTCCAGCATGCGCAAGTCTATCCGTTACCTGATTTGCTTCCCGACGAACATGCAATAACCTTGTATGATGAAAGGAGTCTAGAAAATGATTGATGTCATTAATTAAAGGCCCACCTTTATTACTATTATGTTGTGAGACTAAATACTTCCCTTTCTTTTTTAGTGTAGATAATATCATTTGTTAAAAAAAAAAAAAAATTATAGGATTTCTCTACACAAGTTCTAAATTTCCTTTTATAAGATATATGTTATAAAAAAATTTCTTTTGGTTATTAATTTTTGGTAATGTTTTGTGATAATTTAAAGATAGGGAAATACACGAGAACATAACTGGTAATAAACTATTATTGAAAGTAAAATTTAGGGAACAGTAAAGTGATAATAATAAGTGAAATATAAAACATGGCGTTTACCTTTTTTTTACTAAACTGGGCGTTCTAAAGGACTTATAGTCCTTCTTTGTATTAGATGTTGAAGTATGTCACCACATGACTTAGATTGTTTGACATAGAAAATATGTGAAAGTGATTGTGTTTGCGCCTTGAATTTGATTCTAATTGGCCAACCAAGGAACTTTTTCTCGACCTAGGATACGCCGTTGAATGAATAACTAAATGATGTGAAAATGGTGATAGATCTAGTGAGAATTGGTTTTAATGACTTAAATTATGTGTGGGATTTAATATGACTAATATGGTCTGATATTAAATTCCTTCCACCTTCAGTTGGACCTCAGATTGAAATTTATAATCAATTAGACCGGATGGTGTAAATTCGGATACAAACATATGGTCTAATGTTGGACTACAACTACTACTAGGGTAACGTTTGAAGATGCTGGATGAACTGGAACCTGCTGTAAGTAGCTGGACGATGAAGGAAACTTGTTTTTTTTTAATGCTGGATTCTCTAAGTATGCAGTTTGAACTATATTATTCTCGATTCTATGCTATTATTTATTCTATAAGATATTTGCTAATGTTGAGTTCATATTATATTGCTCCTGATGAATGTGGTGTTTTTATTTAAGGAAATCATATTCTAATGGTATTTTACACATTTCAGTCTTTGTCCTACCGTCGTGGTTTGAAGGATCGTATGCGGAATACCATGACGAGCTTGTTTCTCCGACAGGCGGCGGTTAAGGGAAGAGACGGCTGAGGGATATGAAGGAACCTCCCCTTCCTCGCCATGCCTTCCCTCCCCTTCTCGCTCTACCACTACCTTATCCTCCGCCACATTGTATAAATTCCATCTGTCTTTTTTATCCCAAGAAATCAATAGCATTGGCGCAATGGCTTTTTATATATATCCCTTACAGCCCAACGCCATGGCTTGCAAACAAAGCTAAATTCTACTCGTGACTCTAATCTCTCTACAACTAAATATAAAAGCTCCTTAGGCAAATTTGCCCAATCTCTCGTCATGGTTTCCGACCCAGAAGAAGAATTATGCATGTTGTTTTCTTACTTTTCAGAGAAAATCTGAAGAACTTGGAGGCACTGCTCGTTAGGCTTGGTATTTGACCGGGGGAAAGTTCATCCCTTAATCCCTTTTTCATACACAAATTATTGTACTACCAATAGTAATAAATTAAATTACGTTAAGTACGTACAAGGAGTATATGCAGCACTGCTATCCACTACTATGTATTTAGTCATGAACATTGGTTTATATGCCTGCTTACTTAATATGCCATTGCAGTGCCAATGACCAGACTCTGCATGCATTTTTAATTTTGTGGTGAATCTTCATAGGTCTAAATTGAAGAGCTAAAGCTAGTATTCCACATGAAAGCCAATATAATTATTAATTAGGCGGGCTTTCTAACTCTTCTTTCTCGTTAGGATAATGAATCTCCCCGTGAAATCCAAGACCACGAGAAATCTGGTATCAATAGGATAGAATTTGAAGAAAACAAAACCAACAAATCCAATATTTGACATTGCACCCTATTTTCCACGCTCTCGGCTATGCGTTTTGGCCGTTGGATGAGAGGAAATAAAATAATTTTTAATGATATTTCAAGATATTGTCATTGGTGCCACTTGATACTATGGTTTGGTAGTATGTCTCCTCATTTGGAAGTGAGAGGTCTTAGGTTCGAATCTCGTAGAAGGTGAATTCGATACCAAATTAGGTTACCCATTGTATGGCTTAGCCAAACTCCATCTCCTCTTAGTGTAAAATTATATCAATGTACTCAGAAAAAAAAAATTATATTGTCATTTTTTATTTTAAATCATGATAATTATTTTGAGAGATTATTAAGGACTTGTCCAAATTAGCTATTCCAATTTGATATGGTTGAGTTTATATGGGATGCTACTCTATGTGATATGATGGAAGAGCTTCAGATAAGGGTGATGAATTATATCTTGGGCAAATGCGTGAATGCACTTTGGTGTATTTGAATTGCAACATCAAAGCATTGGATAATCTTGGCCGATATTTTCCTAAGCCAACCAACACCCGATTGATGACAACAGCTTCAACAAACTTTATTATTTGATAATGGTGCTAGCATGGATAATTATTTCAGTGTGGGGTTGCTGTTACCATAAGGATTGGCTGATCTTCAGTTAGTATGCGGTGGTGATGTGATAATGATTATAACAACGCAAAAAATTAGCGGGTGGGGTGATTTGGTATGTGTTATGCTGAAAGATAGCTTGAGCCTCTCTTGGAATATATTTGGATAAAGAATGGAGGATATGGCATAAGACGTAGTAGTTTTTAGAGTCAACGGACATGATGGAGCAGTAAACGATATGACTACTTAAATTTATATTAAGAGAGAGGGTTTTGAACTTGGGATGAAATGAATTGACCAAGAAGAACCTAACCACCAAGGCAATTCGCCACACTTTTTTTTATTTTTTGAACAAAAAATATTATCTACACTAAGGAGGAGGGTATGGGTTTAGCCTACAATATGCTAGTAATAATGTGATTCAAAATCGCTTTTGGCAAGAATCGAACTTAAGACCTCTCACTTACAGGTAAAGAGAAATATCCGTAAACCGTAATACTAAATGACATTTCATCACTTTAAAAAAAAAAACCTAGGAAATTAGGGTTGCGCACTGTTAATTATGTTTTTTTTTTATTCATTTTTAAAGAAAACTAAGAAAACTAATTACAATCCAAGTTGAAATTTGATTAATTGAGTCTTTATTATGTGGCACATGTCACGCCATTGGAACAGTATCATGTCATTTTCAATTTATGTGAAAAAGTAGATGAGTCATTTTATTTTTTATTTTATTTATTTTATTTATTTTTATTTTTATTGCGATTGGACATGCTACGTCAAGGAGGAAAACATTATAAGAATAAAGCATTTTGGCTTAAAATGTTCTTGAGATTGATAAAACTCGTTACATTGGTCATTAACGCTTTGTTTGGATGAGGAAATTTAAGATTACTAAGAAATTTTAAAATAACAAAAATTGATATGACGGAATTTTATTTTCTAGAATTTGTAAATTTTTCTTGTTTGGTTAACCTAAAAGAACAATGAAATTTGAATACAAAATTCGTTACATTTAAACTCTCACTCATAAAAATTGGGAAATGACACATATTGACATAGAATTTAAACTTGGGAATTGGAGGTCCCAAATTCAAGATTTTTTCCAAGTGGAAATTCTAAATTTCTATGTTTATGAATTCAAACAAGAGAAGCATGTCAATTTATAAATTATGACTTTTGTCCAAATTCCAAGTTTATTTCCCTCATCCAAACATAGTGTAAGATTTCAAATCATTAGAATTGGTCCTGAGTTTGTCTACCATCAATCATTTTGGTCCTTTCATGAAAATCTTTGTTAAATAAGAACCAAAATGACAAAGATACTCTCAATTTAATAAACAATGAGCCAAAATGATTTGACAAAAATTGAGGGTATTTTTGTCATTTTCTTCTTATTTAGTGGAGATATTTTATGAAGGATCCAAAATGATTGATGGTGGACAACTAAGAGACTAGTTCTATCGATTTTAAATCTCAAAAACTTAAGCAATGAGTTATATCAATTACAGAGACTATTTTGAATATAAAGCCTAAGAATAATGCCCACCATGGCGCAACAACTTTTCCCTAAAATATATACGTTGGTAGCATGTGGTACAATATCATAGTGATTGGGTGTTGAGTTTTTACCCATGTATTCTAGGTTCGAAATTGTCTCATCTCCTAAATTATTGTAAAAGTTTCGTACCCTTCCCCTTCTCTTAATGATAATGAAAAAATAATTAAAATATGTTGGTAAAATGGTGGAAAATGTGAACAAATATGATGATAAATTCAAGATAGAAATAGTCTTGTGACCAAGAAATATATGGTTGCTCATCTTTGAATTTGATATCAAAGACAAAAAATAAATGAATGTGCTTTTAGTGTTTAAATTTAAACCCTTGATATTAAACCAAAAGATAAAAGACCATTAATCTGTAATCTCCAAGAACGAATAGATCAAGACTTTCATTCAAGATGTTGATAGCCTGATAGCATGTTTCTTCAATATTTTTCGCATTTGCTGTTGTCCAATTCGGTGCATTTTCATGTCATGTACTAATTCCTTAGCATAGTCATGTTTCCAACTTAAGTTGTGGCCAATTTCTATGCAAGGACAAATCCGTTTCGTCGTGCGGGATGCTTGGGATCAAGAGGTTAATTAATAGTACTTACCTTTACATTTGAGATACTGTCATGAATTTGATTCTTTCGGCCCCTCTTATATAATAGCGATAATTGGAGTAATGTTTTCCAAATTTTAGTCTAATTGGAGCTTTTTATTCTTAGATTAAAATTTTGTGAATGTAAATACATGAACTTATTTCAACATGAAGTAATGGTGTTTTTGGTTATCCCCGCTTACAAGTAACAATGTTGTAAATCCGTTTCATGGGAGATGTTTGGGACAAATCCCTCACTTACGAGTAACATGTTTTCACCATACAAAACATGATAATCAAAATCATTTATTGTCTTTATCACTATCCAAGTTCATATATGCAAAAAATCATTTAATTTGGAGATATTTTAGTCATTTATATGCATCAAAGAAATGGACAGTTCATCATAAAGATGCTACTTGTTTCCAAAATTGTCAATTTGTGTGACACAATTGGATGGCTAAACGATCTCCAGATTGAATAAGTTTGCCAGATATAATTTTTAGATGATGATAAAAAGACTAAACAAATCTGATTACAATGTTCGTATGATAAAGAATATTATTCATAAGTGGGTAACAAGTAGATTCCTCTAGAAAGGGAATGCAAGTATTATCCATTTCAAAAGCATAATAACCGATTAACACTTATGTGTTCTTCCATATTTACCTTTGTAATGAATCTTATCTTTATAGAAAATGTAATTAGTAAATGGAATTAACGATGTCAATTTTAAGGCTTTGCTTGATAAGTTCTTACAATTAAACTCTCGATCCACTTAAATGGAATGCACGTTTAGTTCAATTAGTTTATAACTGTATGAAGCGCACATGCTATGTGTGTGTAAATATAAAAAGTCTTAAAAGAAAAAAAATATGTAGAAAAGAGAGAGATGTTATGATAACATGTGGGTTAGGTTTAAAAAAAAAAAAAATTTATTGTGTAAAATTACATTAATGCTCATGATTTTATTTTGTAATAAAAAATCAAATTGTTTTTTCAGCCTATTTTAGTTGACAAACAGACTTTTGTTAAGTAAACTAAAATGTCATTCATGCATGTGTTGCTCATTTACCCGTTCGAAATAATCCGGCATAATACACCATTCATGCATCTAATTTAATTTATTTTTACTCTCTCACCATTTGAGCCAACACGTAGCATAACTTGGAATAAGGCATTGCTTAAGTCAATTCTACTCATCACTTAAAAACGGACTGACCTTATAAACCAGTGAGAAAAAAGAAAAGAAAATTAAGAGAGAGATAAGGAGAAGAGAAGAGAAGAAATACTATATCTCCTGCTTACGTTTCACTTTGGATGATTTTCAGATGAATCAGATCGGAAAAAAGATTTTAATTTTCAATCAAATAATTTTCAGAATCAAACTTTCTTTTCAATTTGTAGAGTTCAGAATATTCGGAATTTTAAGTATCAAAGTTATCTCATAATTTTCAAAACATATTTGGGAACTTTTGTGTATATGCAATTTATTGTTTTTTTCTTAATTTTTTTGGTATATATTATGGATACATATAAGACAAAATAAAATAGAATGTGTCTTCATAGTATCTACACATATAGTCCAATACAAACATCTTTTCGTACTTATAATATTATACTCCTCATTTTTTTAATATATCTGCTTAATTAAAATGGCAACTAAAATATAAAACAGATCCCAAGTTAACAATGAACATCATAAATTTGATCACAAGATTCATACAATTATTTATATTTTAGATCGGAATAAATTTGACAATTTTATTTAAAAAAATAATCGCATTTGTAGTTTGATTACACGATTCATCCCTTTTTTTTTTTTTTCTTTTTTTATCTGAATTTCAAATTCGGAACGGAACGTAAGGGTTGAAAACAAAATTTCTAATTAAACATGCACCCACTTTCACATAATGCCTAATGGTCTTTAAAACGCCATTCACACATGGCTTAGGTATGGTTTTACCCTTTTTCCAAAAAAAAAAAAAAATTTCAGGTATGATCTTTCCATCAACCATTATCAAGCTGGATCAACCTTAAACCATTAGCAAAATGTGCATTCATGTTACCTTAAATTTACCTATACCAGCACATAAAATTGTTCAACCTCACACATCCTTACAACATGTGTCACATATACATCGTTTAGTTACAATAAAAGAAAATCAAACGCTTAACCAAGTCTAATCTTAACGTACAAAAACACCTTTTTTTTAATATCACAAGTTCAATCTCTTATTTAGCTCTAAAGTTCACTCAACTCCCAATTAGCCCAACTTCTCAAAACACACACACACACTCTCTCTCTATCTCTCTCTCTCTCTCTCTCTCTCTCTCTCTCTCTCTCATTGAAGTAGACAGACACCAACTCTTTACCTAGAAACAGCTAATTATGCTTAACAATGCCATGATACAAGGACGAGGGGATTTGCCGATTTGGTACAGTTGTGTACAAGGCTCTTTGTCTTCTCCTTAATCCTGTCTTCAATGGATATCATCGCAACTTTGTGCTTCCACGTGGTCACACCCATCATACTACCACAAGTTTGATTTGTTAGTTAGCTACCCTAAGTATACTTCCAATGTCTAATTAGGTACTCCATTATCTACCAAACCCTATCAGCATTAGAGATTAGCATCATATACCGAAAGCTTAATAAAAAAAATCTTCCAGCATTTGCGATTAGCATATCCAAACGCTTAAGAAAAATCTTCCAACCACGCAATGTGCATTAGACATGAGCCACTAATACTACATGGGTTGTTGGACTTCTTTACACTACGTGGTGCCAAGCTAAGTACTTCACTTAACACTATAACATTAAATTACTAAATTAGAAAAATCTCAAATTAAGTTATTTTATATCATTTTTTTATAGGAAAGGATCTACAATCTAATTCAAGTGGTTTTCACCGATACATACTAATGAATATTGTCACTTATGCGAGATATATGGTAAATAATTTCATCAGTAAATGTCATACAAATAATATTAGATAATTGCAATATTGAGATCAATGTCAAACAATGCAACTCCTTAACAAAGTCGAACAAACTAGCAAAATCTTGTTTTTAAAAACTAAAGGGTGTTTTAAGTTCGAAACTTCTCCTCCTCCAGTGTTGGAGGATGTTCTCTTGAATACCCTAGTTTAAAAGCCTCGGACTGACGCAGAGCTGCATGTGGGGTCATGAAGCAGTGCATCATATTCCAGATAACGCTCGGGTGTATATACATAACAGTGGGGTAGTAACTAACAAGAGGTGGACCTAGAGAAGAAAGTGACAAAAATAGCATCTAGATACAATTTTTTAGTAGCACATATTGTTATAGAATAAAAAGAGAAAAGTACAATGGATTTGGATATTCATGTGGAAATTGCAGTAATATGAGTGGCTTTTTCTATACTTTTTATTCTAGTATTATCACTTAGATTAGTGAGAAAAAGGAGGAGGGCCAGGGCAGGCTTTCTTGTAGATGAAACAATGAAACTTACAGCATGATGACTTTTTAAGGTTGTACTGGTAGAGACAAATTTCAGTGTATAAACACCAACAAAATAATCCGATTAAACAAGAGGATTATAACTCAATTGGTTAAAAATATTTCATATTTTTACTTGGAAGTCTCAAAACTCAATTGAATTTTTGAAAAGCAGAATCCAACAAACCAAAAAGGTTTCCCATGATCATGCACTTTTCAATCAAGAAACAGAAATCTAACATTTTCTTTAACAAAATAATTAGATCAAAGTTCATATACTTTTATAACATTGGTCATGATATATCCAAAGAATCAAAAGAATAGTGTTTCAATTTTGAATGGTGGTATAATAAAAGAAGTTAAAAGAAAAAAGTTGGTAGTTCACATCAAGTTGACCATTGATCATATCAATCGTGGAGTGAAGAATCACTAAAAAAAACCTTAACCTTTTTTTTAGTAATGACAATCCACCAAAATTTGTGTTCTTAACCTTTCTTGCTGCTGTTGTTCTTGTTGTTGCTGCTGCTGCTGCTGGTTTGATGCAAACACAAACTTGGTTTCTTTGTGGTGATCATCCTCTGAAGGTGCTGGAAGGTTGAGATCCAAATCCAAATTCAACATGTTTTTCTGCTTCTTCACGGGCAGCTGTGGCTGCTGCTGTTGATGTTTATGTTGTTGCTGATGGGATTCAAAGGCGGCTGAGACTGGCGGAGGCGTCAACGACAAGGTTGTGTTGGTGGCTCCAATCGGCGCCCTGTGGCGCCTCATGTGGCCTCCCAAGGCCTGCCCGGACATGAATTCCGCTCCGCAAATCGAGCACTCGTGGATTTTAGGAGAGGACTTGTTGGAGCTCAAAACCAAACCCCTATTGCTCAAATGGAGAGAAAGTGGAGATGAAGATGTGTTGATGTTGTTTCTGTGGAAAATGTTGTTCTTTAACGATTGCGTGTCTTGATCTTCATCCGACGGGGGCAACAGCCCAATTCCAAAATGCTTGTTTTTGGGATCGTCTCCGATATTCACCTTCAGCTTCTTGTGACTGGCCCTGTGACCCCCTAATGCCTGGAAAGAAGGGAACGTTCTGTTACAAGTCTTGCATTCATACACGTAATACCCTGCCGCCCCTGCCACCTTGCCTGCGGTGACAGTTGTTGATTCCAAGAATTTTCGACTAGTTGTAGTAATATGATCGTTGGGGGGTTGGTGATGGTGATTGGGGGAGGAAGAAGCCGCCCGGGATTGGCCTTGCGCCAAAAGAATTAGGCAATTTGCCATGTCCTCCTCTTCTGATGTGCTGTCTTGGAATAATTCAGCTGATGTGGTGGGGGACAAGTTGGTACTATTGACGCAATCGTTGTTGTTTTCGCCGCCATCACCCCCTCCACGGCCGGTGCCACCCTCGGGGGACGATGAGTTTGTTGGGATGGCAAAAGGGATTGGGGATTGGGGCCTCAAGCGTTTTGTGCGCTTACCCTTCATAATATTAATGTTGTTGCTGTGTTGTTCCTTGCACCCCAAGATCATGACATCCTCTTGATGATGATGATCACCACCTGCTGCTTCCATGGCTAATTCCTCCTCCTCTACCTTCAAGAGACTTGGAATTATAGCTTAGAAAGAGAGAGAAGAGAGAGGAAAAAAGAGAGATTTAATTGGTAGGGAGGAAGCAAGGAAAGGAAGACTGTTATTACAATATATATATATAGTGACTATTGACATGTTGGAGAGAGTCGCAATTATAAGGCCATGCCCCTATACAACAGTAACTGTGAATTTAGTCTCCCCCATCTTTTGTTGAGTTTCAAGGTATTTATAAAGGGAAACAATTTCTGCAAACCCCTTTTCTCCTCCTATATGTTTCTATTTAGTTTTGTTCCTTGATTCCCTGTTGATTTACTTAATCTCACAGTTAGGAAAAAAAAAAAAAAAAAAAAAGAGATATGCATAAAGAGAAATATGGTATGTAAAAGTCACTTCCGTTTATAAAATTGAAATTGTGTTTAAAAATAAATTAATTGAAAAACCAGCAAAAAAAGAAGAGGAGGAGTTGTAATTTTAGAGAGAGAGGTTTTAGTAAATGTATGTGGGATAGATAGAGATTAAGGCAAAGAAAGCCAAAAACAAAATCCAGGTATAACGGAAAAGAGAGGCAAATTTAGAGATGAGGAGTGTAAAGCCCCAAAAGAGAAGAGAGGTTGTTAAACGTAAAGTCCGTTTCATGCTCTCTTTCCCACACTTTGCCAACTCATTACTTCTTCACCAATTGCACACACAAAAACAAACAAACAAAAGTTAATGAGGTTGGGGTGCATTTTTGTTCACCATCATGGTAATGTTTATCATCTTGATGAGTTTAAATTTTGAAATTTGTATCTATCCACTACACAGATTTCGAAATTTAAACTCATCTAATAACGGTAAATAAAGTGATGAGTATCACCATTACTTAAGGTGATGAGCAAAAATATTTCGGTACGTTACCAGGCACCCTCATAATCTAACCTACTCTCACCTCCAAAGCGCGTGTTCTTCACCTTCCATTTTGCCAACACACACTACCAGTAAGTGCCACACCTAGCTAATTAAGCTCTTCACTCCAACAATCAACTTGTACCAGTCCCACAAATTAGGTGCGAAGTCTAACATTGTAATAAAATACTAATTAATAAGTGCCCTCAACTTGTTGATTGAGATTTAAGGAAGTAGGACTTTTTAAATCACTTACCTACTATACCAAGTGTATGTTTTTAGCTTTTCTCTTCAGTTAGATGTTAATTTTAAACTAATTAATTAATATTAAGTAAGTAATCTCGATTCCAAATAAATACATTTAATTGTGTTATTTTTTTTTTCCTTTACTTGATAAAAGATAATTTAAAGAGAAAACAAACTTCATTGGCGTACTCGCTTGTTATAACTCATTGAGTATTTTTTTTTCTTTTACTCTTTAATGCATATTTTGTGTGTAGAGAAACCATTTCACATGCATGTAACATAGCATAGTATGTATGTAATAAGTTAGGAAGACTAATACTTGAAATGAAGGAGAATAAGAGTTATAATGTCTTCTTAATTAATGTAAGAATAAGTATTTTATTGATGAAACTTGTATATGTACTATAATATTTAATGACACATAACGCAAACATTTAGAATTTAAGTAACTTGCACAAATCTGTTATAACAGTATACAAGTCTAAAACGCTTGAATGGAATTCCTGAATTCCACATAACACAGTCTTCTCCGTGTTTATTGATCAAAGTTGAAAAAGGGTGGTGGTGGAGCCTAGAGGTTTGTTAGGCGCGTGTGAGTTTACACACTACCACACTTACTAACACGTCTTGTTGAAGATACTGCAAAATACAGGCTGCAGCTACACATGTTCATGTGTACATGCTATTTAATTATTAGAGAGAGAGAATTGGAATTTACAAAGTGTGTTGAAGGGAAGCAAGCAAAGCAAAGGCAAAGGCTAAAAGGCAAAGCCCCACTACTTTGCCTCGACGATTTGTGTATTGAGATGATGATTGGAGTGCAAGCCTGGAACCACGGAATCTGCGGTGCTCCTCCACACCCCCAACTCCCACTTCTCTCAACATTTTACCATCTTTTTTTAATATATAGTTCTTGTATTTTATTCTATAATTTCTATTATCTATTCTTTGTATGACAGTTTATGTTGTCAAGAATTGTCATGCAATTCTTGAGCGTCTTCTTACATAATTTTGTTGGGTTTTGAAAACAAAAACTTGGTTACGCTGATTTCATACATTGATTTATTATCACGTGATGCGAAAGAAAGACACCAATGTATGAAAATGACATGTGAGAGTTTTTTTTTTTCGCATTTTGGATCTAAACTTAGCAACTTGTAATTTAACTCTCCTATCTTTAAGGCTTTTCTTTTCCTTTTTTAAGGGAAAATACATCCAACTAAATTTGAATTCCTCTAAATTCATGGCTTCATGATGAACAAGATCTATGGGACAATTAGATGACACAGAGATCTATGGTACACCATTAAAGTCATACTTACAACTCAACCACTAAATATGCATAAGATTAGACTGTATTAGTGATCAATCATGATTCATGAATGGAAATTTCTCAATCACCATTCAAGAAAAATAGGTACATTTTACCTTAAATGCCAATGAATCTCTTGATTTTCGGTGCCATGTAAAAGTTTAACATACCCCCAACTCCTCATCACCCATCTTCTTTGTTTCAATTCTTTTGGTTGAGTTTTGAGCATTGTTTAACTCTTCCCTATGTGACGAGGGGTGTTTAAAAGTAATAACATTTACGTTTATTTTATTGTTGAGTTTTGGGCTTAACCCATTAAAATTAGAGTTTTATTTCCTTGCTTAGTAGGGATTAGAGTTAGTTTATTATAAATAATGATTTGTTATTCAATTGAGAATAAAGGAGGAACATAAATGTTAGTTTTCAAGTCATTAACTTAATCTAACAAATAATAATGACATTAAAATAAAGGAGGAAAATAAATAAAACAAGATGCCATTTTATTTTCCTCCTTGTCCCTTTCTTTCGATTTCATGGGTTTTGACATGAACAATTCAGGGCACCATGTGCGAGGCAGCGAGTGGGATGTCTCGCAGCTCAATTGTAATTTTCAGTTTATGTGTTTTGTTTAAGATGGAAAAATTTTACCCTTAAATAAAGTATCACCAGTTAGGGGTAGGCTCGTTTGTTTCCCAAACTGCACTTGATGATAAAATTAATGGAAACTAAACAGTGCCGCTAAATATTATTTCCGTTTATTGAACTAAATATTAATTTTCAAATGCAGTAATACGGATAAGTATCTTTGTGAATATTATTAGGGACACCATTTGTTTGTAATCAATCAGTTCATGTGTGCTGTTGACCCTGCAGTCATATCTTTATATTGGATATCTTTAAGTTATGGGACATGCATGTTTCTTAGTTAAATACTAATTTAAGCCCAGTTAGTTCTATGATTATCAAATAATTAATCCTGGACTGCATATTATTCTATGTATAAGGTGATCATCATTGAGGTTCACTTTAAAATGTTGAAATGGAAGGAAATATTATGGTTATTAACAAACCTTATTTTTAAAAGTTATAAATAGATTTGAAGTAACTAATTATTAATAAGAAAGAAAAATAAAAATAAACAGAAGATGTTAAAGTGCTCAGGTAATGGATATTGTGTACCAGAATTAATTAATATATAGCTTATCTTTGGGATGAAGATCTCTTCTTAGTGGGGAACTACTTACTTGCGGAAGTTGTTCAAGTTATATATATAGCGTATGCACTTATATTAGAACCTTCGAGTATCATTATTCTAATACTAGATAATTAAAGCACGCCGTATTCAGTGAAAAAACATTGTGTAATTCAATGACTTAGGTTTTACTCACATAAATGACGAATTCGAAATTAAATTAGTACTAGTCTATTACGAGGCTGTCAACCCCACCCTCCAATTTCGTTGCCAAAAAGAAAAGAAAAAAAAACATTGTTTAACAACCTTATAAATAACTAATGTATTTGTAGGGGGGGCTACTTCAAATTGAGTAGCGTAAGGGTTAGAGAAATGAAGAAGGTTGAAAGTTCAACTTTAAATGTGAATTGCAAATTATTATCAACGTGTTCCAAATCATCAGAACTTTTGACCCTTCCCTTTGTAAGTACATGCACAAACATCTCCTTTAATTTCACTTTGGCAATTAGATAAGCCAACCCAAGTTATGTATATGGTCAAAATTACCAATACAATAATTGAAATTTATTAAAGTTATTGGTGTATTAATACGACTACTTATTTCCTTAAGTATTGGTTTAGAAATTAATATCTATGCAATGAGTACAACAGTGCCCCTCCCCTGTACATACATAGATAGATATATGCATGTATAATAGTATATGTGACAATATCCACAAAATCTACTTTATTAATAGATAATTAATTAACTAAAATATCATTACCATATATATCACGATGCAAAGCATGAAGGTAGATAGGTTTGTTAAGTTGTAATTTATTAATTAATTCTTGGCTTGAAGAGTTATCAGGGCGTGGTGAGGATAATATACGTCGTGTCCCGCACGTAAGGTTCCATAAACCAGCCTATAAGACGAAATTTAAATTCAGAGACGGGAGTAGGGTTTTGGTCCTTGCATAAGTAAAGGATCACTTTATTCTTCCGATCATGGATTCCTCTCTCTTGTAGCTCAGGCTACCTTCTCATGACTTCATTTCTACGTATTACTACAAGACAAGACAACCACACATAGAGTAATAACAAATTCAAACCATATAATATTACATATGGTTCATATAATATTAAACTATGTATATATACATATATTATGGTTCTTCGCTAGCTAGCAGCTTGGACTAAGAACTAGCTTGCTAACCGGTATTGAGCAACTACGACAGTGCATAACCGACGTTTCCATTTTTTTATGCCAATATTATTGTATAGGCGTACTGTTTGTACTACTTCACAAGTCACCCATATGAGAGAGAGAGAGAGAGAGAGATTGTGTAGCTTCGAGCCATTCAATGGAACATGTTTATTGCAACTACCTTTACCACAGTGGTGGAAATGCGTTGTGCTCTTACATGACGGTGTGAATTCCGTCGGTGACTAATCTAACATTTAACTTACTAACGCTATCGTTTCACTCAAAAAAAAAAAAAAAGCAACTCAAAAGACCGAAATAATTAAATAGGGTTTCGATGTGTAACAAAACAGAATGAATGAGAATGTATATCTCTATCTATCCATATATCAAGTATTCACAACACAAGTCACAAGGTTTATTTGCATAAGTCAATTATAAGATTAAACAATATAAGGAATCCACCCCATCAATTTTCTGTGTCAATTATCTATACTGTATCGTATAGAGATTGCAAACACATGTAGTGAGAGGTAGATCTAATCATCTATGCGCTAGAGGCCACTATTCTCTCGGACTTATGAGTCATGCATAATCTGCCATACTTAATTCCACAGTAATTACTTACTACAGAACGACATCCTTATTTCCC